AAATTCAGCAAGGAAAATGGGTCAAAGAACAGATGTTTAGAGGATGACAGAGAGCAGTGGCACAGGTAACCAGGTCAGCAGGCAGGAACTCTGATTAGAGTAAACCAAACTCCATTTCCCTTCCATAATCAAAATACTTGAAAATCTAATTTATACCATCAGCCAACTGCAACAAAAATGACTTAAAAAGCTGTAGATACTTTCGATTGCAAAAGCAATAAAATCTCATTGTATTAATTCAGTTGGAAAATATCTTTAGGGGAAAAGATTGATAAATCCCCACTAAGTACATAATAAAATGAGAACTGCCAATTTAAATAATTAAGCATGCTGATAAAATGAGCACAGCTTAACTCATCTATTTTGGGTTGATTATTCATTATTTAATATTGTTAACTGTGTAATTTCCTCAAAACTTAAGTACTTGTTTATGACAAACAACTTTAACGGCAGTAGAAAAAGCACCTGAAAGATGCTTTGAGGGAAGTACTGAATTTAAGAACAGACAAGTTAAGCTATATGCAGTGATTAGTAACCAAATATCTGGCTTTAATTTTACATTTTAAAAAGGGAGTTCACACATGCTTCCAATTGAAGGAAGGTTTCGTTTCCTCCCCCTTTCCTCCTAGATATCTTGCACTTGTTAGTCTAATCACAGACCGTATGAAGGGAAGGGCCTAACCTCAGGCAGAACCTCTACACTGATGTCGTTTCTCACAGGTGTTTGACTGTCCTGTCAGATTGAAGACTCCACAGCCTCCTTCAGAAGCTTCTTCCTCTGCTTCACCTTCATTGCAATTCTTTGTCCCTTTTCCTCTGAATCTGTGGCAACTACCCAATTTGGGGTAACATCTTCTTGCCCTACACATATGATGAAGGAAGAACACAAATCTCCACAGTGCTCCTTTCCTATGTCTGAAGACCAAAGCCCCCACTTTCATGTTTTCTTTCAGTTCAACAACATGAATTCCTTCACAATCTTTCCTTGTAGGTCACACTTTACAAACCTCATATTCTCTTTTAGCTCTGCTAAATTCTCTACAAGTGAGTCATGTGCTCAAGTGCAATACTGAAATCTGGACTCAAACTGAGGATGTGAATGGAGCTGGCACACTGTCCTGTTTGCACAGCTCAGTAGCATGTTTCCTTGGCTGCTTTTACAACAACATGCCATTTGTTGACATGTATTTAGCTCACTATTTCCTCTAATTGCTCTTTCTCCTCTACTTTCTAAGAGCTGCTACTAGCCAGTTGTTCCCCATCTTTTAATTGTGAACCTGATCACCTTCTCTCTGTATGACTTTGTGTACATTATCTGTGCAATTTCACCCCACTCTTTGCATATAATTTCTCCAATTTGTCCTGATCTTTTTGAATTTTACTCTTATCTACCAATATACTCACAGTTCCTCTTATCTTTGTAGGAGCTACAAATCATGAACAGACCTGAGAAGCACTCACATCCTCCTCATCCAGGAGGGTCCATTCTTTCCCTTTGACAGTGATTTGACGCTGATGATTTCTGCAAAATTTGTTGGGTGGATGCCCCACTCATGCAGTAGTGGCTCCATATGACACACTATGACACTGCCTGATCCCAGACAGTAAGATATGAGCAACTGAAAAGGGACCAGAAACTCCAAGCTTGTCTTTAATTATATTAATATACTAACATATTAATATATTAATAAAATTAATATTAAAATATTATTCACATATTAATAATATCAAGTGAAAAACATTATGGAGAGCTTCTGCTATTAAGAAAAGCATCAACAACCATATTTTCTTTAGACAAGAACATTGTGTGAACATTTGCTCACTGGGTTCTGAGATATCAAAAGTCAGGTTCTAGCAAAATCAAGAACTTTTTTTCCAAGCAGAGCAAGTCTCTCTGGGAATGAAGAACAGACACAAACTTTTCAGGCCTTCTTTATAAGCAAAAAAAAAAAAAAATCAATACTAAAGATGCAATGAGAGGCTTTCTTCTAGGCCGTTCGAAAACTCCCAAACAAAACCACAGACCTAAGTTAAAGCAACACCATGTAGTCAAAAAGTTGATCGAAGTCAGATACACTCACATCAAATCACTTTTTCTCTTCAGAAACTGCAGAGCAAACCAGTACTGTTTGATACATGAATTTACTTTTAAAAATAGGAAAAGAGTTTTAGACATTCTAAAATTGAATTTCTTTGGGATTGGAGGAATGAATGAATGAATTTCACTGAGGCTCTTCTGGTACGTATGAAGGACTTCACCCTTTTCTACAAAAAATACTGAAATATTTTTCTACCCCTTTCTGCTGAGACATAAAGCTAGTGGGATTACTTCACGAGGCCTTGAGAGAGAGGCATCATCAGAGAGATCATTTGGAATGGATTACTTCTTTGTACTATTTTTATTGACACCTTTCTAGCTAATCTACTGATAGAAAGGCTTTCAATGCTTAAAAATCACATGTAAACAAATAAACTGTAGCTGGTAAATGTGTTCTCTAACTATGAAAGGAAAAGCAAGATTTACTGTTCTCCCATAAAGTCTCAAGAGCAAACAAGCAGAAATTGGTTTGAAGTTTTAAAAAAAGAATATCCTGTATCACAAGAAAGTAGGAAAGACATTATTTTCCTTTTTTTTTTTTTTTTTTTCTTCATTTGTTTTGCTGTTAGGAAAAAAAGAAGCTTACTTGCCAAATTCTCACACACGCACAAACTCTCTCCTGCTCATATTAGATTAGTGGTAAATAAGGAATTTCTAAGTTGTAGGAAGTTCCACGTTATGCTATACAGGCTATTTCAAAACAGAAATCTATCTCCCTGCACCTCCTCCTGTGGAAACAGGGAACACTTTGGCCAGTACACACTGCCTACATATACAAACACTTCTTTCCTTGTACAAAAACAACAGGAGTTATTTCTCTGGCTCTCCCATAACATTTTTTTTTCTTTCTATCATGGTGGTGCCCAATCAAACTAAGCTTAGGAAACCTTGCTGTAAATTTATACTTTATGTCTCTTTTGACAAGAATAAAGGATAAGCTGTACATCTTGCTCAGTAACTCAGTGGATATACCTTAAGAAGTTTCTGTTTAAATGTTCCCAATACTGATGCAGCAATTTGAGAACCAGAGAAAAATTCAGGAAGCTTTTAAGTGTTGCCTCTTAAAACTCAATCACTAACTGTGTAATGCAGTGATAAAAGTAACAGGGACATTAGTAACAAACCTAAGTCCAAAAAGCTGAACTAGCAATATCAATAGTGGGAAATCTTCAGGGAAATGAAAAAAAAAAAAAGTGTGGAGAACACTTACAGTTGGAGGTCACCAGAAGTAAACACAGAATGTGCTCAGACCCTTCTTCATACATTAAAATCCCTCCCAAGACTCCTTTTTTTCATGCAAGAAAAATGACAGTTCTTAGCATGTGCACCTTTCTTGCATTTCCCTACCCAGTTCACTGAAAAAAATGATGATGTTTCTCAAGACATCTCTCCTAATGGAAGAAGCAATTGACCTTCACTTTTCTTTCCAGGACTGGACATATGCAACTACAGTGTCCAAATAATGCTAAGCAAAAGGTTCTTTATAAAACAATCCTTTTGACACCTGCTTCAAATCAGAAAGCAGATACGAAAGGCAGTCTTTGGATTTGGTTAGTTTTCTAATGGCAGATGTAGAAGCATGTTTGCATTAGCAGTACCAATCAGTTTCTCAAAGTAATCTCAAAGATTTTTTCCATGCACACAGCATATTATCAAGTGAAATAATTTAACTATTAAAATCTGGAAAGTAAAATATAGCATTTTTTAAAATGCCATCCTAATTTAATACTATGATGCACAACATGAAACTGATTTTCAAAATAATTAGCTTTCATTTGCATAACAGGTTAGTAGCTTCTTGCTTATGTTCATATCAAGACCCCCAGAACTTATCCACAAATGATTTATCTTGTTCTAAAATGATGTATCTTGTTCTAAAATAAAATAGCTGTTTTTCTAGTGTGTATGAGTAACATAATTATATAGATGCATTAAATCTTTAAAAATAGCGTTTGAAAATATCTTTTGCTGATTATGTCAACAGGAATAATTTAAAAAAAAAAAAAATAGGACCTTGCAAATTGCCCAGGAGGTTATAGTGGTTTAATGTTTCACTCTAGCCAAAGACTTTGCTTCCCATCCCATTATTTAAGATAAATACTGAAATATAATAAATAAGGAACATCTAATCTCAAAATGTACATCGACAAATTTAAACAGTATTCTCATTAACCCTTCCCAGAACCTTTTAAATAGGGTCAGCGGAAAGGGCTTTCAAATGGTCCTCAGCAGACACGGTACATCATGTTCTAGTAATCTATTGCTTAAAAAGGAAAAGTCTTTTACAGCCTAGCCCCAGAGGGTTTTAAGATCATAACACTAAAAATCTATAAGTACAAACTTTCTTTGATATATGGTTCAATACTATAAAATATAAATTAACAAGGATATTAATCATTTTCCATAATAACCACACTATAATCTAGAAAAATGGACCAAAATAGAATCATACATACCGCTCGTTTCATAGTTGGCAAAGATATTCCAGTTTAATTACTCAAAAGCACCTGTCTAAACACCATTAGCTCATCCACATAGTTTGCAGGGACCGGCGTAGAACAGAAACGTAATCTTTAACCCATCACACAAATATTCTCTTGTAGTTGGAGGACGTGGCTACAAAAAAACAGCCCTGTTTTAGCTGTTCGTGGGCCACAGTAGCTCAAGGCTCTGCGCACCAGAATGCCCCCCACAGCTGATCAGTTACAGCTGCTAATTGTGGAGCAGGAGACCGGCTGACATCTGCTTCTTGCAGAGTTAGTTAATGGTTCACTTCCAGGTCCTAAAAGGATTGTAGCCTCTCTCAAAAGGCAGTGCCGGCCCCGTATACGCCTGCCTCCTACACTGCCTGCCTGGTGCTGGTTTGTCACCCGCCACACAATGCAAATCCGGGTGAACTCACATCTGCCACCGATCGACCCAATTCGTGAGCAATCTTTTCCCATCGACCTGGGGTCCCCCCTGGGAACTTAACCATACTTCTTGTCAGCTGGCTGAGGTCCTCTTCTGTCCACTCGGGTGCCTGCAAAACATTTGTACAACATTCATTACACCAGGATATTGGACACATTTTTGTGGGGTAAAATACTGAAAAAAATATATGATATGTATTTATCAAATCATGTAAAAACCAAAAAACCCAACCAATTTAGTAATTTCAAATATCTGGGTATCACCGCTTCATTTCATTGCAGAAAATGCATAAAAACAACAGGAAAACAGTAAAGTATTACAAAGCCTTAATGTTTTTAAAAAAGCATTTTCCATATAATCTACATTGACCTATTTAATTTTTATTTACAATATATAAATGCATATACAGTACAACAATGTAGAGATCAAAAGCAACAATATTTCTATTAAAGATTAAATTACAATTTGAAATAAAAAATGCAGGCTTTTTTTTAATTTCAAATGCAAGATTTGTTCCAAGCAAAAGAAAAGATATTCATTTTTATATATTTAAAAGCTGTAAATAGAACAATCACTCTAGCTTTTTGCTGCTGTAATCACTGTATATTTTAGCTTCCCTGGATGACTGAGAGGTGAAATCTGTTGATTCCAAGACCCCGCCAGGACTCCTAAACAAAAAGCCCACACAAAGCCCCAGTCATGCTACAACAACAAACCCAAGGGTTCTAAAATTCAATAACCAAAACACATTAAAATGTTTTACTCTAGCAGCATCCCACAACCTGTTAGAAACAACCTTCCTCATAATGGCCCAGTAAAAGGGGACAAAGCCAGGAAGGGCACCCAATTACCGCGGCTAAGGCGCGCGGCGCTGCCCCCTCACAGCGCGGGGCCCGTAACCACCTCTGACACTCGCAGCATCTCTGGCAGCGACTCTGGAGCTCAGCCTTTGTCACAAGCACCGGTTTGCCATTTTTATTTATTTTTGAGGCATTCCGTATGACATACCTCCTCTCATCACCACTTCCGATAATGAACGGGCACATATCACGCCGTTTGCCTCACAGAGCCGTCAGCAGCCAACAACAGTCAGAGGTGAGTGACCCCAGGGACCATCTCCACCACTGCAGCAAAGCTCCTGCCTGACACTAATCCCGCCTGTCACTCTCCCACCGAGCGCTAACCGCACTGACATCCGCCTGCCGCACCGCGGGCTTAACGGGCCAGTCCTGACTTTTTACTGTCTCCCCCAATCAATGGCTCCGGCGTGCTCTTTTCACCATGTCCAAATGGCAGCTTCACTCATAATCAAAGTGCACTGCTCCTGTTAAAGGGCTTCCCGAAAGGCTCCACCATTTGCATTCATTTGCAAAGCAAACTACTTTTATTCACTTTGTTCTGCTATCAAGAGTGTTCCCTGAAGCAGATAAATTGGCATAAATACAACCTGCCACTTAAAAGACAGTAAATAATAGCCAATAGTAGCAAGGATTTCATCAATCGCTCTGGTTTGGACCCGTGTAGTCCTTTATTCAAAGCTGAAAGCCCCAGACATTCATATTTGTATAGCTTTTAATACAAGTGTAAAATTCACCATCTATGCATCCTATGATGATTTAAACATAACATGTTTAAATAACGGGTGTACGTGCATGTGAGATCTCACACATACGTTACATATATAACCACATAATTACACTCTGGCCTATAGAAGATGTGCTAAACACACTGCAGATCTCCACATTGCACAATAACTTTTATTAATTTATTGTACTAAAAAAACATACTTCGTATAATATTTTACTCAAAAATATTTCCTTGAGATTTTTAGAAAGGAAGTTTGGGGATACTGAACACTCTACTTCTAAAAATAAAATTTCATCACTATAATTTACATCAAAATATTTTAAAATAAGACTTTGGTTAAAAAACCCTCTTCAAAAATTAGTGAAAAACTTCCTACAGCAAACATTTTTGCATGCAATTTACTTTCAGAAAACGAAGGCACAGTTATTCTTTCTAACCATACCTAAAGCATATCTGAACCACCACACGCAGAAATCAAGATGATCTTTTCAGTGATGCACATACATTGGGAAGCTTTCTGTTATGTTTTATTTTTAGACTTTTTTGGTAAGTTTTGATTGGGAAATGTGCTCAAAACTTTAATACCATTTCTAAATATTGCAGAATTCACGAGCTTATCTCCCTAAATAACTAACAAAGCTACAATCATTCTGTAGATCTGTAAGTAATTACATGGCTAACTCAAAGCACAGGAATTCATTAGCTAAAGTAAAATACCGATATGTTAATCTTACTTCAATCCAACTATAATTTTAAGATGGAAAAAAAAAACTGAAACACTTATGAATTTGGACAACTTTGAAAAAGCTTGTAGAAAATCTGCTGTTAACCATTACAGCTGTAAAGACCTTTTGTGAATTCGCAGCTCCCCCGCAACAGTTAATTGTGTCTTTAGATGCAACAGCGCCTACTGTGCCCCAGCTCCTACAAGCGGCTATGAGGGTGGTCATGGTGTGAATGTGTTCTGCCCCTTCTAATCTGCAGCCAACGGTAACTGCGAGAGTCAAACGAATGCATAAACATACTGCTTTGTCACCTAAAACCATGTGTGTCCAATATCACTGGGACACTGCGCCAAAATTCATCTCTACAGTAAAGTAATGGAAGACACCACATGGTGAGGGGACAGCTGTTGTGACTACACAAGCATTCAGATTTTGCATCAGAAAAGCCCCGTTCTGGGATTAACTCTCCATCCTGAATACGAAATGGAAAGTACACAGAGTTATGGTCTATGGTCTTTAAAATGAAAATAAACAAGTGTAAATATTAAAAAATTCATAGCATCCACTCAAATGATATCCCCTTAATATGGTTTACTGCACTTAGCTCACACGCTCACGGTTCAGCCAAACCGCTTTGCGCCTTCTAGAGGGAATATGAATGTGGTTTATTGCTGAGAGCAAGGGCACCCCTTCCTAGCAATTCCACACCACCTCTCGCAGCGTGGCACAGTTTACATACCAAGATTACACTAAATATAAAACCTCTATTTTTCATTGACATTAAGAGCTATTTTTTAGAAAACAAATGCTGCTTTATTAACAAGAAAGCCATTTGTTTAAAATCTGGCCAGAATTTTGTGCTAAATTTCATCCGATTTTAGTTAATTCACTATTTTGTGCACTTTTATTCCCTGATTCTTCAAATGAACCATGAAGAGGCATCTATTTAAAAGTGAAATACCTAAACATTTGTAGAACAGAGTCCTAGTAAACTTCCAGACAGTTCCGTAATTCAGAAAATAATAGGCCTACAGGTTGCTGGTGCTTCTGCCCAGTAACAGGATATAAGAACAGGATATAAAAGTATTCTCAATTTAATTTCTGGATCATAAGATCTTACTCTCCTTGTATTATTCTTCCATATTCTTGCTTTAAAAATCTGCTGCAGTCAGACTTCAGCTTTGTGATCCAGCTATGTGATGAACTCTAAAGATATCCTTAAGTTACAACACAGTATTATTAACCTGAACTCATATTCAAAGTCTCAACATATTCCCACAGACCTTGCTCAAATCCAAGCTGCTTTATCATGAACATTGAGATAGGCAACAGCAACGTAAGGAGAGCTATAGTGTTTTGGACCAAGGGTCCAGCTGGGCCAATAAGCTGTGTGGAAAGCTGTACTACGTGCTTGGTGCCAACGGGAAGGCCTGGGTTTATTACTCATCTTTTCCATCCCCACTCTACTTTGAAAACAACAGGAGCCACATGCAGATATCAAGAGTACGAGCAAGGTAAGTTCCCCAAATAACTTTCAGATCTTCCAATTATTTTCAGCTCACATCATTTCCTTAGCCTGATAAGGTTCATCTATTTAGTAACCATCAACGAACCTCTTTTTCAAAGGCTTATCCAGTCTTCTCTGAATCAACCTAAACTTTCTGGATCTGCAAGGCTCCTCCTATCCATTACAGAGGAGCACCTCACTTTGTCGCTTCTGAAGCTGGCTCCTGCTAGCTTTGATGACCCCAACATCTTGTTTTTGAATGAAGAATCAGCAAATAGTTCATTTCTATTCACCTTCACTTACAGTTTTGATTAAAATACTGCTCTAAAATATTCCCTCATTGCTTTTAGGCTAAAGAAACCTAGCCTACTCAACTGGTTTCTCATGTAAAAACTATTTCGTACCTTATATTATCCTTGATGCCTTTTTCTAAACCTTCTCTAATTCTAATATATCCTCTTTGAGATGAGATACCAAAACTGGACACAGCATTCAAGGAAGAATTAACCGTCCATTTATACAGTGGGATAATGATGCTTCTCTTTCTTCTCTATTCCTTTCTCAAAAAAATCTAACACCAGATTTTTTTTGAATGATATGGAGTGGTGTTTTCTTTAAACCAGCAGTCATAATGCCTAATATCTCACTCCTTAGCAATCACGGCCAGCTCAGAGCCCATCATTTTTTGCATAAACTTAGAATAGTCACCCCCTGTATCAACACTTGCAACTTTATTTTTACTTACAAGCAAATACTCTTCTGCCATTTTGTTGCCCAGCCCCTCAAAGTCATAAGCTCAGACTGCAGTTCTGAACTATCAGCCCTCATCTTCACTATCCCAAACAGCTGTATCATGGGCAAACTCTCTCACTTCAGTGTTAACCCTTCTGGAAAGTCAAATAGACTCTATCCATCAAATCACCTTTTCCATGTATATTTATCAACTTTTCAAAGACATCCAGAAGATTTAAGGCACTTTCTTTTATAGAAGCAATATTCTTATTTATCTGATGCTCACTAAGTTTATTTCTTATTTCAGTTTCTGTGATTTTCAACTACACAGATATCAGGCATGCAGGCCTGCAAGTTCCCTGAAAAACAGTAAAAAATTAGTAAATAAATAGAAATAATGTCACATTTACCAAAGCTTAGTCTTCAAACAGCCATGAAAATAAATAGTTAATTCAATTATTTCACCGTGGAATTTTGTTTGAACTGTTGGTGAGTTCCTCTTCCTAGAAACTTAACTCATTTAATGTTAAACATTGTATTGGTTTAGTATAAAGGAAC